TATAAATGCATACAGTATCGTCTGTCTGTCTGTCTTGTTTTAATGTCTGTTTTTTATAAATGCATACAGTATTATCTATCTATCTGTCTGTCTTATTGTTTTAATGTCTGTTTTTTATAAATACATACAGTATTATCTATCTGTCTCTGTCTGTCTGTCTATTTTTTATGAATACATACAATATTATCTATCTGTCTGTCTGTCTGTCTTATTGTTTTAATGTCTGTTTTTTATGAATACATACAATATTATCTATCTGTCTGTCTGTCTGTCTCATTGTTTTAATGTCTATTTTTTTATAAATACATACAGTATTATCTATCTGTCTCTGTCTGTCTGTCTATTTTTTTATGAATACATACAATATTATCTATCTGTCTGTCTGTCTGTCATCTATCTATCTGTCTGTCTGTCTGTCATCTATCTATCTGTCTGTCTGTCTGTCATCTATCTATCTGTCTGTCTGTCTTATTGTTTTAATGTCTGTTTTTTATGAATACATACAATATTATCTATCTGTCTGTCTGTCTTATTGTTTTAATGTCTATTTTTTATAAATACATACAGTATTTCTATCTGTCTGTCTGTCTGTCTGTCTACTTTTTTATAAATGCATACAGTATTTCTATCTATCTGTCTGTCTGTCTGTCTGTTTTTTTTATAAATACATAGTTATCTGTCTGTCTTTTTTAATGTCTACTTTTTTATGAATACATACAATATTATCTGTCTGTCTGTCTATTTTTTTTTATAAATGCATACAGTATTATCTATCTGTCTGTCTTATTGTTTCAATGTCAATTTTTTATAAATACATACAGTATTTCTATCTATCTGTCTGTCTGTCTGTCTGTCTTGTTTTAATGTCTATTTTTTTATAAATGTATACAGTATTGTCTGTCTGTCTGTCTTGTTTTAATGTCTATTTTTTTATAAATGTATAAAGTATTGTCTGTCTGTCTGTCTGTTTTAGTGTCTATTTTTTATAAATGCATACAGTATCGTCTGTCTGTCTGTCTTGTTTTAATGTCTATTTTTTTTATAAATGCATACAGTATTGTCTGTCTGTCTGTCTTGTTTTGTTTTGATGTCTATTTTTTTATAAATACATACAGTATTTCTATCTATCTGTCTGTCTGTCTGTCTGTTTTAGTGTCTATTTTTTATGAATGCATACAGTATCGTCTGTCTGTCTGTCTTGTTTTGTTTTGATGTCTATTTTTTTATAAATACATACAGTATTTCTATCTATCTGTCTGTCTGTCTGTCTGTTTTAATGTCTATTTTTTTTATAAATGCATACAGTATTGTCTGTCTGTCTGTCTTGTTTTGTTTTAATGTCTATTTTTTTATAAATGAATACAGTATTGTCTGTCTGTCTGTTTTAATGTCTATTTTTTTATAAATGCATACAGTATTGTCTGTCTGTCTGTCTTGTTTTAATGTCTATTTTTTATAAATGCATACAGTATTGTCTGTCTGTCTTATTGTTTTAATGTCTATTTTTTATAAATGCATACAGTATTGTCTGTCTGTCTTATTGTTTTAATGTCTATTTTTTATAAATGCATACAGTATTATCTGTCTGTTTTAATGTCTATTTTTTATAAATGCATACAGTATTGTCTGTCTGTCTGTCTGTCTGTCTGTCGGTCTATTTTTTTTATAAATACATACAGTATTGTCTGTCTGTCTGTCTGTCTTGTTTTAATGTCAATTTTTTAATAAATACATACAGTATTGTCTGTCTGTCTGTCTTGTTTTAATGTCTATTTTTTTATAAATACATACAGTATTATCGATCTGTCTGTCTGTCTAATACACTGGAAGATGAAGGATGTGCAGCTGAGAAATGTCTATATAAATATGTGTGCACTCACCTTTGCCCTTGTTTTCTGAACTCTTGACTACAGAGGGGTGGTGTGAGTACGTGTAGCTGATGTGTGCATGTTTGGGTCAGGTATCATTTGTGCTTTGGGGTAATTACAGTGTAGACACCAGCTGCTGCTTCTGCATTCCAACACACACTGATGCTGCCGACAGAGGTCATGACACATCACACAGCTTCCACCATGACTGATGCCCGACAAACACTTCACATCTTACCTGTAGCTGCTGACGTTCATGCTTTAATGGGTTTACTTATCTCAAAGAATATTTAGAATATTGATTTTGACATCTAAACTCTTCACCAACCCATATTTAGAGTAGGTTAGTTAGGATGGCTGATAGTAACCTTTGTAGAGTGTTTAAGTCATTGGCACTTACAAATCATGCTGTTTATCCCGCTGGAAGTCAGATGATTGAAGGTGTGACATCATGTATACACACATGCACAAAAGGTAATCCGGTTCAGAAGTTCAGCTGAACTATGATCCTGCCTCAAGGGCACGATGGAACAGTGAAGAGAGAAATGGGATGATACCACATGGATTTCAATGGAAATTTGATTGTTAGCTCTTACAAGCCGAAAGGGAAAGAAAGATAACTGTTAACATCGACTTCATCAGCAGAGCAGAAACAAATTGTATTTTAGTTTTGCTCATTTATTTGAATTTGTACATATATTTGTATATATATTGCCCTTTTCCCCTTAATTTTTATTAGAACAAGGTCAAGATCCCAATAGAGACACAAGTCACATGATTCCATTAGGATTTCATGACAATTTCCCATCTTTGTTGCTTCCTAACTATAACCTTTCTTCATCCCACCTCTCTCACCACTCCCATCCTCTCCAATATCTCTTCCACCCTTGACACTGAAGCACACTGTATGTTCTCCGTCTGGTATGTCTGTGTGCCCTTCGGCTGCTAGTCTTAAGGGTGTGTGTGTGTGTGTGTCAGTCCATCACAGATTCTTTTGTCAGTTTTATGTCCATACATGTGTGAAAGCTGCTTCCTCTTTTGCGCAGAGACCCGTTTTTATTGATAAGAGAGGCTGCATGTCTACTGCTGGTGGATTCAGGCACCGCTCTGCTTTATCTAAACACTACGGTCTTGTCCTTCATGTTCTCGAGTAGTTTCGTGGTAAACATAACATCTTAATGCTTGTTGAGACAAAAGGAAACCTTTACTCAGTAGAAATTGCAGTAACGTAGCCAAATTTGTTTTATAAACCCCAATGTATCAAATGTAGAAGCCTCATATTTTGAACAAGGCTGCATTTATTTGATCAAAAATGCAGTAAAACAGTTAAATGTTATTATAATAAAAAAAACTGTTTTCTATTGTAATTTATTCCTGTGATGGCAAAGCTGAATTTTCAGCAGTCATAACTCCAATTTTCAGGGTCACGTGATCCTTCAGAACTCATAATATACACTGTAAAAAAAAAATCAGTAAAATTTACGGTAAAAAAACGGCAGCTGTGGTTACCGGAATTTTACCGTAAAAAATATGGTAGCAACGTTTTAGGTTTTATGGTTTTAACTTAAATTTACAGTCAAATACCGTAATTTCATTAACTGATAAAATGTTATTATATACCAACCTATTGAAGCACTGACATCTGTTTTGTACCTTTGTAATACACTGATAACCACCAAATGCAGGTGGTGATGAGAAAGTCACATGATGAACAAAAGCCCATCACAAGTAGCTTTTAAATAATAACATATATAGAAGGTGCGCCGTGTCATTCACACAAACACCAAACACCATCATGGTAACACACATGAAACTGAAATAACGCAATAAACATTAATTTAACAACATTAGGTGTAACACTCAACCCTAATATACAAAATTGATAAGAAAAAACTAAGAAGAAACATAGTTATTTCAACAAAAAAACATCAAATTTGAAATGTAACGCAGGGAATTCTGGGAATGTCAATTTACGGTTATTCACTGTAAATTATACGGCCTATTTCACTTCCAAAAACGGTATACTACTGTAAAATTAATGTCCAATACATGTAATGTCCAATACAGTTTTTCACCGTATATAGTAGGGGAATTTACCGTTAACCATTTAACAGGTTTTTACTGTAGAATTTTTACAGTCTTCTACCGTTAAATTCACGGTCATTTTTTACAGTGTACTGATTAAGAAACATTTATTTGTATTATTTCAGTGCTGAAAGCAGTTGTGCTGCCAAATGTTTCTGTGATACATTTTTTCAGGATTCTTTGATGAATATAAAGTTTTAAATGTTTTATTTATAACACAATGTCTTTACTGTCACATTTGATCAATTTAATGCATCCATGCTGAAAATAAGTATTCTTTTTTTCATATTTTACTGACCTCAAACTTTTGAATGGGAGTGTAAATTCTTATGATAAATGTTTACATATATATGTATGTAACATACTGACCCCAAACATAATGTTCATGCTCAACAAAGCGCAAATAAACACATCAAATCTCTTTATTGAACAGAGACATCTTAAACACTATAACCGCTCCAAATACACATTTCAAAATAGATACCACAAAAGATATAAAATTAACATGAGCACTATTCAACAAGACAAACACATGAGCACAGGAACTACAAGAAGTATTACACAAGTACTGAACATATACAACATGTATACACATAAACTCCTAATTTGGAGAAAAAGTGCTGCTTGTTTTCTCCTTCCCTGTATTTAAACTGATCCCCCAGTTCACAGCGCAAGGGTCATTTTTCACAGCTTACATTCATGATAAACACAAATAACTATGCATTAGTCATCTATTTACATGGTTTAAAGCAATGTGTAACTTCTGTAAGTACTAGAGCCGCAAGGACAGCATGTAGAGATAACTAGTCATTTTAGTAGTACAGTGGCCTAGAAATTAGAAAGTGGCATAATATAATTTTTTATTTAGTGAGCTATCCTATTCACTTGAGAAAAATATAAATAGAGCTTATTTGTGTTCCTACTTCATTTCATAAAACAAAAACAGGTTTTGTTTATATATCACATACAAGACTGAGATGAAATAATAAATGAATTTAAATGCATTTCTATTTTTATAGTTTATAAGATTTTTTTTTTTCTTTTTAGATTTCCTCATGCACATCACAATGGCTTGGCTATTCAAACCTAACATATTTTTACACAGGTTTAAGTAACTTTTTCATGCATTCTAGTGGATATTTACCCTTTCCACAAGTTCACTAAAAACAAGTGTTCAAGTTCAAGACTGCATTATCTAATGAATGGGTCAGGTTCATCATTTCATCCATTTCCAGATGGTTTGCTTTACATAAACATTATAAAGGAAACTGCATATGATTCCCAAAAGGAGTTTGACATCTATGCACTGGCGTTCTATGTGGTACAGTGTCTAAATGAAGTTTTTTATCTATATATGCGTGGATTCCCTCCGATTTCTCTCAACTCCGTGGGTTCTGTAGTTAAAAAACACATGCAATCCATTGACCGGATGCACGATTGGCACCGTCTGCATCGTTGGATATGTTTCTGTTGCCAGAGTGCAATCTACTGTGGCGAGCAACTCCACCGCAAGAGTTTTGAGCACAATCAAAGCGAGCTCCCGGCCGATGCACCTCCTCACACCACCTCCAAATGGGACGTAACTGAAGCGGTCGGTTTTGCTCTCGTTTCGATCTGCGCAGAACCGGTCTGGGTCGAAGAGCTCTGGGTTCTGATATGCTTCTGCTGTCTCGTGCGTGTCACGGATGCTGTACATGACGCTCCAGCCCTTTGGGATCTGATAACCCTGCAAATGCACAATATACAAATTATTACATTAGACAGATTTTTGTGTAAAGTTTTTGAATCCATGTTTTTCATCAGCAAAATCTGTTTATTATTCACATTATATCATGATCATGATTTTATAATTAAAAATAAATTTTTATTCATGTTCCTAAAATAAATATTATTTAAAAAATTTTAAAACTTTAATTATTAATTAATAATATATAAAAAAATCACACTATATTGCGATTTAATACTTTTATGATTAAAAATTATAATGTAAAATTTTATGATGTAGTAATTTTTATTTTTATTTCTAATATAAAATGTAAAATATTTTTTTACACCATTTTAGGGTTCAATGCACAACAAAATTATTATTCTATATTAATATTCACACTATACATTTATCATTTTACACATTTCATTATGTAATTTAATGTCGCTAATATAATTTTTTTTTTTTTCTGTGCATAAAAATATTTTAGTAATTTTTAGTTCATTTTTACCAGCAACATCTGATTTAATATCATTATTATTATTATTCACGCAATATCGTGGTTTAATAATGCACAATTTCACTAATGTTATAATGTAGTAATTTCTGTTTCTAATATAAAATGTTACTGAAAAAATTAACTAACTTTTGCAGACAATGTATGAATGCACCATCCATAAAACGGTATTTGCAGTAATTATTTTGCACAAAACAAAACAACAAAACAAAAAACACAACACTTACATTTAATTCAAATGTTTGCAGGACTGTCCTGTATCCGCCAGACACCGGTGGGAGGAACCGAAGCACCTCTTTGACCACACAGTCCAGGTAAGAAAGTTGACTCAGTTTCTCCAAACTCAGGTAAGGGACGTGGGTGCGAGAGCGATGCCACTCTTCCTTGTCTCCTGCTTCAAAACACGGTGTTTTATTCATCGCTGATCTCCACTCGCTGGTACTCTTCTCAGCAGCATCACTTTCCTCACTGATGACGTTCCCATGGCAACGAGAGCGGCAGTATCCATGCGCATCGCCGATCAGCCCCTCGCTTTCCAGCTCTGCTCTGGCGCACTCACTCACATCTGGATGACGCAGCAGCTGCAGGATGAGGGATGTTGATGCGCTGGCAGTAGTGGAGTGAGCAGCGAAGATTAACTCTACTGCGGTTTCCTGAAATGCATTTTCATTTATTTATTTTGCAAACATGAATCCAAATGAAACTGAAAGGAAAAAAATGTAATGCAAACAACTGAGAATAGCATTTTTTTTTAGTTTTGCTCACATACACATTCAGTACAGGTCAAACGTTTGGAATAATTACAATTATTTATATATATATATAAAAAAAAAATTCACTTTGTCACTTATGCTCACCAAGACTGCATTTATTTGTTCAAAAATACAGTAAAAACAGTTATATAAATAAATAAATAAATATATATATATATATATAATTATGGTTATCACAGCTGAAAACAGATTTTGCTGTGAAAAATTATAAATTTTTCAGAATGATCTGATGAATAGAAAGTTCAGAAGAACAGCATTTATTCTAATATAAAACTGTACTGTCTGTACTGTTGCTTTTGATCAGTTTAGTGCATCCAGCCATGGAAGAACATTCAAAAATCTTAATTTTTCCAAACTTTTGGCCAGTTTTATGTGTATGTATGTATGTACAGTATGTGTGTGTGTGTGTATATATATATATATTTGTATATAAATGAATGAATAAATGCATTTAATTGGATCAAAACATTATCATGGGATCATCATCTGTGATGAAAGCTAAATATAATATTACAAAATAAAATAATTAAAACTAGGTAATAGTACAAAGACAGCACACATTCTTAAAAATAAAGGTTCCAAAACGGGGTTATCACAGCGATGCCATAGAAGAACCAGTTTTAGTTCCCCAAAGAACCTTTCAGTGAACAGTTCTTAAAAGAACCATTTTTTTATTAGTGTGAAGAACATTTTCATAATCTAAAGAACCTTTTTCCACTGTAAAGAACCTTTTGTGGAATGAAAAGGTTCCATAGACGGTAAAGGTTCTTTGTGGAACCATTGATGCCAATAAAGAACCTTTATTTTTAAGAGTGCACAATACATTTGGATTTGGCCTTCTATGGTTTACCTTAAGCTCTTGCATTGTAAGCTCATAGTCATCTTCCTTCGCACTGCTCAGCATATAGTCAAAAGCATCACAATAATCACTGGTTTGCTGCTTTTTCAGTTTCTCCTCTATGATCTTCTCCATGGCAGAGTGCAGAATCTCACGGGCCCTGATTCCCTACAACAAAACAAATAGACTGTTCATGAATAAAAGTTCTAAAAAAAAAATTTCGACATGGTTTGTTTGCTCAAGCTGTGAGACAATGTGACTTTTGGCTTGTGGATGGAAGATCAGAACTGGACTCATTCTCACCTTACGCAGGCCGCTTATGGGGGTGTCAATAGGAAGAGAAAAGAGGTTGTTCATGAGCTGTTCAAAGGTTTTGGAGAGAGAAGTGATTTGCTGCTCCTCCAGATGCAGACCGAGCAGGACTCGCACTGCAATGCGGAAAGTGAGTGACTTGGCTACGGTGTAAACGTCCACAGGCCCGGTCTCGGAGCACCACTTAGCAATTTCAGTCTTGACAACATCTTGAAGGCGTGTCAGATAGGCCTCCAGCGCCCCACGGCTAAACACCTTTGCAAGGATCTAGAAAACAAAATTTTATTGATCAAATGCTGGACTATTCATTGCAACATCAATGGCTGGAAATGAAAGATTCATTTTTTTGTGAGCGTTCATCTTTACAGGGATATTTAGGAGAAATAATACAATTAATGGGTTAATTCTTTCGATAAGATGCCTTTTTTATTGAAAAGTCTTTCAGGGTGCATGCCTTTCAGATACGCTTACTTTTCTCTTCCTCTTGTGCAGGACACCAACTGAGTTTACCAGAGTGTTGGGCCCCAGGATGATGCGTGTGCTCTGGGGCCACTGCGTGCACACCAGCGTGTGTTCACCCAGCAGAATCTTACGGATGTTTTCTGCACCGGTCACTCGGATGAGGGGTTTGCCCAAAAGGTGAGTTTTAAAAACATTTCCGTGTTTCTCGCGTCTGGAGATGTGAAAGCTGGATCCCTGTTACAACACAACAGAGTTTCATGTCAAACTTTTTAGATAGACGCAATACCCCGAGTCCCCACTACTTCCCCAAGACTTTCAGTTGTTTGTGACTATAAGGCTTTTTAAAATTTCCATACTAAAAATATTTCCATGCAAATTTCCCATACTATTTTATAAACTTTCCAGGCCTACATAATGGAATATTTATTTATTTTATTGATTGATTGATTGCATCTTCTGGAAAGGATTGATCAGTTCTGCATGAAATCAAGGTGAAAAGGTCGGTTTTTACCACAGTGAAGAATTACACCCTCATCAAGTTCACACATGCAGGGAATAATTCCCCTTGTGGATTTTGCACATCAGGCCAGCAGAGGAACTGGCTCATATGCCTCATGTTCCTTTGAGAAAGCATTAAACATTACACTAAAGGTAATGCAAAAATATTAGCAAAATAACATAAAATGCAACATACTCTAATCTACATAAAATATAACATTAATAAAATAATTAACTTAGGCCCTATAAAATCTAAATAGCCTAGTCTAAATGTGGTGGTTTGCGATGGAATTCGATTTTTTCCTCACAAGTTAGCATATGTCGTTTAATTATTTTTTACCTACTACATCATTTTAACCGGGGGCTTCGTGTATTGTTTTCATAGCTACGTTTCACAAGTGAGTCAGAGTGCACTGGTCTAAATGTTTATGATCTTAAAGAAACCGGCTTTACTTAGAGAGGTAACCATAGCAACACGTGCTTGATCGCTGTAACGTACATAGGATACGGTGCATCGATAAAACGTAAGTAGCCTACTGACGTTATTTATAAAGCTACACTCTAAAAAAATGCTGGGTTAAATACAACCCAGTGCTGGGTAAAATAGGGACAAACCCAGCAATT